AAAAAAAATCAAAACCAAAGGGCGAACTACCTAAAGTGCTTTGCTATGGTTTTGGCAGGCTCGGGTCCCTGAATCGGTTCCCTCGAATGATGACGATTGGGACAAGGAGCTAGCACCGGAAGATCTCGAAGAGTTTGTACTCTCGGCTTTGTCACCAGAGGCGCTCGACAACGGGAAGCCTGACATCGAAAATGCTACTGGTGCTAAAGGCGATGCAGGAGTTGTTTCGGCAAAGCCAGGCCTGGACAGGGGGCAGCAAAGTCACAGCCATAGCCAAACTGGCGTCAGCAGCTCTGAGAGGATAAAAGGGAAGGCAGCAGCAGTAGAACCCGAGCTTTCCGCAGGTGCTCTGGTTCTTCAGGAGCTGGAGACGGTTGTCTCGAAGGTACGCCCCTTGCGGCTTTAAAAACCATTGCACATTTTTTTCATCTATGCCCGATCCTTTTTTACAGCTCGAAAGCCGGAGCAGACTTTGCTTGAGGGACGCGTTCTACAGGCTCGCAGACAATGCCACGCGAAGAACCGGAGTTCAAGCCGACGCAGCGGAACTCCAGCGCTTGTCGTGGCGCACAGCATCCTTGTCCCTGAGGTACAAACACCAACCCCGTCTCTTTTCTTTTCGTTCTCTCGCATTTCCAGTTTCCTGGTACGTAACGCTCGATCGAAAACCAAACAGACAGGAGCTGTCAACTAATACGATTGATCGATCCGTCGCGAGCATGCTCTTCTGCAAGGAATCTCCCCCTCCACCTCTCCCGCTCCCGGCTCCCTCCTCGCCGCCGCCTCTTCCTCCACTTCCTCCGCGGCCGCGTTCTTCTCCTGGTCGTCCTCTTCGTCCCAAATCCTCAGCTTCTTCGAGCAGTAGCATTCCAAAGAAGCAACACCAACACCATCAAGCTCCGCTGGGCAACAACACCAACAAGAAGTTGTCGCTGGCCCCAGCTCACAAGCATCGTTGTGCTGGATCGACCAGCGTGCTACGAACAGCCACGACATTGCGAGCGACGCCGGCGGCGATCCCAGGAGCAGCTGCCAGGAACACCAAGAGTTTGATACTACTCCCGCCACCAGCGGCCACCAAGCGAAGATCGCCAAATGCCACTACTACTTTTACTAGTACTAGTACTACTACGACGACTAACAAACGAGGCAAGCTCTGAGGGTGGCGAAGAAAAAAATAAAACTGCAGACCGAATTTGGGTCGCTTGACTTGGCATATTCAGTAAAGATGTTTATCGAGAATATTCTAAATGTTACGAATATGGCCTTTTTCCCCCAAAAATGTAAGTAAAAATACAGCAACCTAATGCCACTGGCCTAAGTGGCACAACCATCTTCTTCTTTTTCTTCTTCTTCTTCTTGATCACCATCACTTCACTGTTTGTTTGAAGATCTCAAAGCCGTCAGTCCAAGCGAAACGAATAGGTATCCCCGTATGTCTTCCTTTGTGGAAAGAGAGAATGTAGCATTTTTGCCACCGATTGGATCTGGAGACGCTGCTGGAGCACCAGCTTTAAAACGTCCAAATGCTGCCTCCTAGATCACTGTCGGTTCACATTATTTGGATGTCAAGCCTGAGGCACTGCTCTTGAGATCAACAAGCATCTGGTAGGCTTCTACAACAGTTTATGATTGCGAGAAGAACTGTTTGTGTTGCTCTTTGTAGGACGTATGAGATTCATTCCCTCGGGGCATATGAAAAATAAGTCTTGCCACATCATCTAACTCTTTCCTTGTCTATATTCCATCCAGACTTCAACAGCTAGAGCACCTGAAGTAGATCTTCTTGGGGACTTAGTGGCTCTTCTTTCTAGTGGCCAACACGGCCCATTCCAAACGGGAATTTCGTCGAATGGTTATGCCTTGTGTTACAAGAAAACTAGAATCTTCTATGTTCAGGATCTCATTCACAAGGGTATGGGAAAACGGGTGCTCGAAAATCCGGACGCTTGGGCTGATGAAATAGTTTCAGAAGAGTCTTTGCTTATGGACGTCTTATTTATGACACTCCTGCTGCAGGAAAGATCTGGTCGTTTCTTTTCAGGTTGCACTGATTGCAGAACGGAATGATGGTTTCCTTGTTGATAAGCACAGTATACAGCAAAAAGGCTATCAGTTACATTTGTTCACATAAGAAGAGTTGAAAATGTGATCTATATAAGAGTTTTAAGTTATCAAAATGACTTTAAAATAATTATGATAAATAATTATGGTAGGCTACCCCAAGTTCACAATTATCGGTGTACCAGATCGAGCAGCATTTGGTGATCCCAAGAGCTACCAAGAACACCAAGAGTTTGATGCTACTCCCGCCAGCCGCGACAAAAGCGAAGAACGCCAAACGCCACTAAACATCTGTCACAAACAGGCAAGCTACTCTTCCCGTTTGTGGAACCTGCCGTCTGAAATATTCAATAGAATGTTCCTTTGTTTAAATAAATGCTCTTTTTGTTTGGTATATTCTGTTTATGGAGCAAAACGAATATGCTTGAGCAGAGATGGAGTAGATGCTTTGGGAGAACTACGCGTCGGCTCTTCGATGGTGCGCCAAGACCAGGTCGCTCGCCCAGGGAAAACGAATCCATTGGGCGCTGATCGAGGAATTGGGCGACCATCCTGGCGCGCTCTTGGGGAATCTCTTGATCGGCATGTATGGGAGGTGTGGCTGCTTGGGAGAGGCTCGCGAGGCGTTTGAGAGGTTGAGCGAGAGAGATGGGTCGTCCTGGGACGCGATGCTGGGAGCGTATGCCCAGAATGGGGATGTGGGCGGTGCTAGGCGGTGCTTCGAGACAATGCCGGCGAGGTCTAGCGGCTCGTGGCGCGGTTTGCTGTGGGCATTGGCGCGCAGTGGGCGGGGAGGCGAGGCGATGGAGATGCTCAGTAGGATGGATCAGGAAGGCGTGGATATCCAGCTCGCAGCGCTCGCCGCCGCCGTGAGCGCCTGTAAGAACCTCCAGCAAGGGATCGCCATTCACGAAGAGATTGCTGCCGGCGGAGTAGAGTGTGAGGCAATTCTTGCAACAGCACTTATAAATATGTTTGTTAAGTTGCGTTGCTTGCAAAGAGCCAAGGATTTGTTTGAGAGAGTTCGCCCTTCCAGCGCAGTGGCGTGGACAATTCTCATTGTAGCAAATGCCCAAGAAGGGCATCTTGATCTAGCGCAGCACCTCTTTAGAAACATGCCAGAAAGAACCTTGATCTCATGGACAAGTATGATCACAATACTTGCAAGAGCCTCCCAAATCCACGAAAGCTGGAGCTACTTCCAAAAACTGCCAAGCCGAAGCGTAGTCTCTTGGAACGCTATAATTGCAGCATTTACCGTAACAGGGCATCCATGTCGAGCACTAAAATGCTTTGGAGAGATGGACCTTGACGGCGTGGAGATGGATTCCATCACCTTCGTATGCGCCATGTACGCTTGTTCCATCGTGGGCGAGTTACAAATTTGCAAAATTCTCCATGCCGGGCTCGTGGATCGCAAGATCCTGATCGAGACCGCAGTTGCCAACGCGCTGGTTTCCATGTATGCCAAATGCGGGGAAATGGCCGCCGCCCAATCGATCCTCGCGGCGATGACTTCTCACAACTCTCACAGCGGCCGCGCCCACAACACCCTCATCGCTGCATTTGCCCAGAGAGGCCAGATCGAGGAGGCACAGCGCGTCTTCGACCAAATGCCTACCACCGCCATCGACACCGTCTCGTGGAACGCGCTCCTCGCAGCCTACACTCGCGGCGGGCGGACGATCGAGGCCGCCAGGATCTTCGACGCCATGGCGATGATCCAGTGCAACACCATCACCTGGAACACCATGATCTCGGGCTTCCTGGACAACGATGAGCCGCATGCCGCGATCCAGGCTCTCCGGAGGATGGATCTCGAGGGCTTCCAGGCGGATCGCGTGAGCCTGATCGCGGGAGTGTACGCGGCGGCCGGGATTGGGAGCGCCGCCGCCGGCGAGGAGCTCCTCGCTGCCGGGATGCTCGATCTCGACCGCGACTCCAGTGCCGCAGCGGGCGCGATCCATCTATATGGCCGATGCTGCAGGCTGGATCGCGCGCGGGAAATCTTCGCATCGATCGCGCGCCGCGATGCGCTGTGCTGGGACGCGATGGTGAGGAGTTTGGCGCACGCCCGGGAGCTCGGGCTCGCGCTGGCGGCGCTGGAGAGGATGCCGTACAACGACCTCTACGCGTGGAACGCGGTGGTGGCGGCGCACGCCCAGGCGGGGCTTGTACGGCAGGCGGAGGAGCTCTTCGCCGCCATGCCATACCGAAACGCAGTGTCGTGGAACACGATGATCGCTGGCTACGCCCAAAACGGCCACCACTGCCGCGCTCTCCACCTCTTTCGATCCATGGACCTCGAGGGCGTGCCGCCCACCAAGATCTCCTTCATCTCCTCGATCGATTCATGCGGAGAGGTGGCGGTGGCCGCGGTGGGGGCGGCGGCGGGGCCGCTCCTCCACGCCGAGATCGCTGGGAAGAGCTTCGAGTGGGACGTGGGCGTGGCCACCGCGGTGATTAGCATGTACGGCAAGCTCGGCCTCCTGGACCGCTCACTGGCGGTATTCCACGGCATGCCGCGGAGGACCGTGGTACCGTACAATGCCACCGCCGCGGCGCTGGCCGAGAATGGCCGTTCCCGCGACGCGCTGCACTTCCTCCACACGATGCTGCTCGACGCCGTGACGCCCAGCGACGTGAGCTTCCTCATCGCCATCGCGGCGTGCAGCCACGCCGGGCTGTACGAGGATGGATTGGAGCGCTCGGCTGGGATGAGCCAGGATCACGGGCTTGATCCCAGCTTCGATCACTACCTTTGTGTGGTGGATCTTTTGGGACGGGCCGGGCAGCTGGGCGACGCCGAGGAGCTGCTGTGCGTGATGCCGTACGAGCCCAACGTGGTAGCTTGGACCGCGCTGCTTGCCGCCAGCGTCAACCACTGTGACGTACACCGCGCGGTGCGTGCCGCGGGGCGGGTGCTCGAGCTCAAGCACGACCCGGCCGCCTATTCTTTGCTCTTGAACATTTGCTCTCCAAGACTGGAAACCAACTGTCAAGATAATATAGACTTTCTTTGACTTTTCTATCGTTTGTACAGTGGAGATAGATACAAATTCTATCGCCACTATTGTTTGTTTGACTATACAAACAATAGTCAACAATCCATCAAAGAGACTTTTCCACACAACTTGAAAAGGAGCTCTGTTCTTCGCAATGCCGCCTACTCTTTTGCTCTTAAACATGTGCACTAAGAAAGCAAAAGCCTCTAGAACCCAAAACAATAGCAGCGCAATAATTCTTATTTCTTTATTTTATTATTTTAAATATAACTTTGGGAGTCAGTTTGCATAGAGCAGGGCAAGACCAGACCGGAGGATATAAATCACCCCATTAAGTACAAAATAGATGCAGCTGTTAGGACGAACAATAACAATTACGTTTTGCACAATTCTGATACAGCCTTGGATGCTTACAATTATAGCTGCATCAACTCTGATATATCTGAATGGAGACCACACAGGGAAGGCATTCCCGAAATACTTGCATATGATGATGATTATTTGCGGGCAAGGGTAGCCACCCGGCACGTAAATCACAATAATCTCAAGGATGATGATGATGGGAAGAAATATTACTTTGAGAAGGGGAACTTTAACACAAACGTCATTCAGGTTGGTTATAACTTGCTGAAGTGAGCCGTTCACTTTGTTAACCGAATCTGCTGGGACACCAATGTCCTGTTCACCTGAGACCTGCTTCAGAGAACGCATTGTACCTTTAAAATCATATGAAAAAACAATTAGTAGGCTACTAATATATATAGTGAGAGATAGATATATATACCAGAAAGATCTTCACTGAGTGAGATATCTTGCTCCGGAACAGAGACGTCCATGCCAAAAACATTTGTGGATGCTAAGAAGAGGCACAGGAGCGAGGCAACAATTGCCACATTTAACTTTGCCATTTGATTAATGCACAAATATAGGGGAAATGAACAGGAAAAGTGTGTGTTGTAAGTTTTGAAATGATACATGTTTAAATACTCAGATAAATTTCACCAAACAGGATAGATTCAAATCA